ATCCATCCTTGTACTGTAAAATTACAAGCTTTTTAACAAGCATACTTTATTCATATTTATTTTTCTCTCATACAATGTAGTCAATTTTTTTCAAATAGTGTGAACATCTATCTCCTGCGTTACATGATGAAATATGCTAATATTAACCTATTTTTTTATTGTAGCTAGCATCTTTCTACCTAACTTCTTCTAGCTTTCATATTTCATATCTTTTAGTTTAGTCGAATCACCCACTACTAACTCATACAAATCTTTGCACTATAAATGATCTTCCATCATGGGTTTTCAAATTGAATAATTTGATGCTGTCAATTTTATAATAGAACTTGTATCACATTTCATGATCTTAAATAGAATTTACTTTTGTCTTAGGCTAATTCTATATCAATATCTCAAAATAATCCTAATTCTGATACCACTTGTTTGGTCTGAAGCAATAAACATAACAATGTATAATCAATATATTGAAATAAACCCATAGTAATAAACAACAATCAACAATCAATAATGCAAAAATAAAAATAAAAAACACCAAGATTTACGTAGAAAATCCTCTAGTGTATAAAAAAAAAACTAATACCACCAGAAAAATCTTCACTATTAAACAATGAATATATAAAGTTCCTCTCTAGTTAAAACTAGAGCTAATCAATAATTAGAGGGACAATTGAAAAAATCTTACCAAATAAGTGATTCAACAAATACACCCTGGATTTGTTTCTATAGAGCTTCAAACTCAATCTTCACTATTCAAAATATAGAACTCTGAATCATAAACTTATTAACAAAATTTTAGCTCAATCGTATTACAAATCGATTTCTATTTAATCAACTCTCCATTCTCCTTTTTCTTTCTATTTTCTTAGCTTTTTTTTTCTTTCTCTTGATTTTGGTGCTACCACCTTTTATTTCTCTATTACACAGCTCCCTTTTTATTGTTTAAGGCTCTATATAAGTAGGATTCTCTTAGATTAAAAAAAAAAACTTTAAGCCTTTTAATTAGTCAAAACCAATAGGGCTAGACCTCACTTTTTCTAACAATAATGACATAGATTTAAGCATGGAATTAAATGCTAGCCCACGTACACCTCACATGTAATGCTTGGCTTCCTTTATGGATAGAATATTTTAATATGAGCTTAGCTAATCACAAATTTTACAAGTAATTGAGTCGAGGAAATTAATGATGAGAAACACCCTTAATAAATTTAAGTAGAGCTTATGATTCCAACTAATAATATATGAAAGTATTTTAGGAGTTGAAGTGAAGGAAAAACCCAAAAGTAGTCCTATAAAAGATCCCAAAAAAGTGATCAGTTAGTAAAATACTTACGTTTTAATTTCAATGATCATGGTTCAACTTTCTATAATTTTAATAAAAAAATCCAAAAGGGAAAATAAAAATGAAAGGAAGATGGAAGATGATGAAATCTAGGGTACAATGAAGATTAGGTTTAATTCTTTTGCATTCCTCAGCAATCAATTATGAGAGATATAATATAGGAAAGAAAGATAAAGAAGTAGCCTCTGATTGGGCCAATGCCATTGCCAACCAAAAAGCACAAGCTTTTGTGAATGGACTCTTTTGGTTTTTGGTTGTGGGTGGAATTCCTTTATGAATGATAGTGGAATCTGATAGATAAACATTCACCGAATAAGACCTTTCCCTGCAACACCTTATCTTTAACTTTTTCAAGTACTTTGATCGAAAATTGCTTTCACCACGTAATAAATTAAAGCAACCATATCTCGTCCAAAAAGCCAAGGCCCATAATTGTATGTACCTCTGCGTGCTCTGCTAATGCCACCGACTTTCCCATAATAATTTCTGGTCGGGTATGATCTTGTTTTTGTGGGTGATCTTTCTTCCTTACAGGGAGCTAGAAATTCTCAATTATGAATCTGAAATTAAAAAAATAAATGGAGAGTTACATCATGTCAAATATTATTGGCCAATGCACTTTAGCCTAGCTGATACCACTGCATTCGAGTAAAGAACCCCAAATACTACTCGTATTGTCTTTGAAAGGCCGGCTTTGAAAGTGAAGTTAGAGAAATTACATTTGATTTTTGTCACCATAATTTGTCTCTAATACTAATACTCAAATAAGCAGGCCGGGGAAGGATAAGTGGTTTGGAAAGAAAATATAATGTCTGCGTAATAAGTTGACTGAGTCGAAAACACTCGAATATAAAAATTTAGGTTCGAATCTCATTCTCAACATTTGTTTTTTATCGTAATCTATAAATTTAATATAAATTTTTTAAAAATTTGCTGTCTGATCTAATCTTGGAATGAAAAATTTTCCTTCATCCTAAACTTTTTCATAAAAAAAGGAAAGAAAAAAAAAAGATTGAAGACAAAAAGAGACCAGCTTTCACGCAGAATTCCTCGGCAGCGGTTGATGAAACAATACTTTCCGGCCCACAGCAAAGAATCTTGATGTCCACTACCATGGTTTAAGTCATTCAGGTGTTTGGAACTGCTAAATCTCTGAGAAGAATGGGTTTTATCTTTGGAATAATAGTGTATTAAACAAATGTAATACCAACATGCAAGAGATTAAGGAGGCTTAATTTTCAAGCCAGGCCATTTGTCGCTTATAGAATTTATTTATATAAATAAAAAATTAGTCTGCTGCCATAAGCATGACGTTCGAGTCAATTCTCAACAACTACGGAGAATCAAATTCCAATGCAAAACAAGAGGAAGAAAGGACCACTACCCTTCTCATTTTTTGTGAGAAAGAGTAGAGTTGGTGTCCTGTATGTCAGTCAGAATATCTACTTGCTGTTGTTACCATTTTGATTGCTTTAACTTGAAATGGAGTTCGGTTGAGAATATCCTCGTTTTGGTGTGTATTTGATTTGCTTGGATTGTTTGAATCCGGATTTTATAACTCATTTAGGACTGGTTTGGATTCCGATGTGTCTCATATGCGGTGAAATCCAGCCATTTTTAGGCAAATTTCACTGGGTGCATTTGAGTAGCATCCCGCAATGTAGTTGTCATCGGTTATCTTCCAATCACATATTCAAACGAGAAAGGTCTAGTGAATAATTGGATTCTTTAATAATTATTCCATTTATTTACATTAAATATATACTTTTATAATTGATTTTAATTTTATCATTACATCATTTAATTTGATCGTTATTACTATTTTAATATTATCATAATTAATTTCGTCAAATCCTTAGTCGTCTCCTAATTTTCTCTCTAACTAGATAACCAGTCCCAAAAAACGACAAGACAAAACCATACAAGTTGAACTGTCCCCGTTAGCCTTTTTAAGATATATACTAAAAAAAACAAAAAAAACAAAGAAGTTGAGGATGATGTAGCGGTATGAAAGACTTGCGAATTTATTGAAAGAGATAGAAAAGAATGATTGTGAATCGGCCTTAAATCTTAACAATGATATAAACATGGCCCTAAGCTCTTAAATTAAAATAAAAAATGGACCAATGGAATTCATGCCTTTCTTGAGGAAACAATCGTTTTTCGATAAAAGTCAAATGATTAATACCTCCACAACAGTCGGGTAATAGCGTGGATGATGTTTGGAAATGAGTTTAAAACCAGTTAAACCTACATTAGTTACATTAACTTAAAATAAATTGGTCAATTTACGTGTTCATATTTAACACATGTAAAACATAAAAATTATAATTTTTTTTATAAAATTAAAACAAAAAGCACAAAAAATGTTAAACAAGGGATCTAGCTAGAGAGGAAGCTAAGAGACATCTAAATCAACAAAAACAGGTGTTAGAATTAATCAAATAGCACCAAAGGAGTAGGGTTCCCTCATTGATTGGAGTAACTTGATCTTTATAAATAACTTGTTGCCATGTCATGTTTAAAATTACTAGATCTATCCTATTATCTTATTATGTGTAGGAAATGTATAGGAAGGGAAAAGCAAATGGCAGGAGACACCTACTTCGAACCAAAAAAGGGGGTTCAAGATATGATAAGAGTGTAAAAAAATTATTGAAAGAACACTGCTAGCAAGTAGATGGCAACCCATAAAACAAGAGTGGTAGCTTCTGTCCTCCACCAATAACTTGTTACCTAACCAAGAAAGAAAATTTAACGGGCTTAGGTGACGAATTTTTGCATTGTTCTTTGAAGCTAAGTGACCCATTAGATGCATCATGGACCCGTAGATGCGACGCTAAACCCAATTGCGTATTATTAGTAAAGATGTTAATCTAATACAAGTCTGATAGAGAATTCAATATTTTAACTTAATGAAAAAAAAAAACAGATATTAAAATTTTGGGATAAGACAGAAATGGGTATAATTTTAAAATGTTCATCAGGTACAAATACCGAAATGAATAATATAACATCCGCACCATATCCATTATCCTATCCTATATATTTATATATAGGTAATAAATTATTTTTTAATAATATAAATTTTATTTTAAATTAATTAAAATTAATATTTTTGTATTTAAAATATATATTTATAAAAAATTAAATTAATATGTAAGATAAAAATAAAAATATTAAAAATTATTTTTTATTTTTTATTTTTTATTTTTTAAAAAGTTATAATTATTGAAAGTATTCAAATCCATTAAATACTCACAAAAATAAAAATAAAAATAAATTTAAAATATTTGTTAAGTATAAGTATAAGTACGGAAATAAATATAATAATAATAAAAAAATGAGATGAGAACCCATCCCATGCCCCATCCATAGACATCCCTAACTATTAGACTTTAAGACTACAGAGCTCGTTATTAGTATGACAGTCACCAGTTAGAACTTCAACTTCCCACCATGCATTTCTAGAATTAGTCTAGCAGCTGTTAAAGCCTAAAGTGCAACACATTTATCACAATATTGATTCATTTCCTTCAGTCTGGTCAGAAGCTTGTTTGAAAAGCAAGAGTGTTTTGATGGTTCTAAGCACGAGGCATTTTCTAAACAGTATTTGATGATTCTAACTTCAAAGCATCGTAATTCATTGCACACTAAGGACAAAAATTACACCAAATTTATTGTTTCTTAAAGGCAAATTGCTTTGCCACAGTTCAAGAAAAAGGTATTTAACATTTCTACATATGGCATTTAGTTTGTGAGTGAAAACCCACACATAAAAGGGGGAAAATAATTATAGAAGCCCAGGTCTAATTACCTGTTTTGCCCAAAAAAGGGGGAAACCCAACTCCTTCCAGTTAGAATGAAACCTATTCCCGTTAGATTTCCAAATGGTTGATTGCAATGGCTAAGCCAATATGGGCCACACTCTGCTCCTCCAAACCAAATGGCAAAATCCAAAAACTTCCAAGGCTTAGCATTCTACAACCGTATACATAATATTTACATGCAACAATAAGTTCTAGACCTACTACCATTCAAAGCATTATGAAACACTGCCTAAAACTCTCCCTAGCTCAGATTTCTGTTCTGTGGTTAGCCTTGATGGGTACCTGACATCTAACTTGATCCTCAAATTACCATTCCTACCAGGTTCTTTTGAGAGAGGCATTCCTTCATTTGGAACCACAATCTCGGCACCGGGCTTAATGATATCAGTCAGTGGGATCATGAGGTTTCTCCCATCCAGGGTAATCAGGTCAAGAGTCTTACCAGTGAGGGCCTCCAGAAGTGTAATCTCCTGATTGACGACCAAATCATTACCATCCCTCTTATAAAGAGAATGTGGCTTCTCCTCTATCACAAAAATAATATCAGCAGGAATTATGCCAGGCTCCTCATTACCCTTCTCAAGGAATGTGATCTTTGTGCCCCTCTTCCAACCAGGTTTTATTTCAATAGTCAATATCTCCTCCAGAGTCCTAAACTTACTGCAAGAAAGTAGCACAGCTGTCAGGCCAAAGTAACAGAGGAAAGCACTCATGCAAATAACACCAGAAAAGTAAAGTCCATAAATGAAAATGAACAGAAACAGACTAATACACTGCCAGATTTCGTGCCATGAAATGAAAGCGTTAGTTCATCTCTCTTTTTTTTTCCCCTTAAAATTGAGAATGCTACAAGAATTCATGATTACTTATTCAGTTATTCTAATTCTTTAGATGATCTTGAAAATCTCTTAGGTAGCCAAAAATAACCAATGCGTTCTAACAGCATAGACTAGAAGAGCAGAAGCTCTTACTTCCATGAATAATATTGTTGCAGGCCACAAAAGAAAATCAGGGAGATGAATATCACTAAGGTTAGTAGAGATAAAAGGCAAGCATAAACACTAGAAAATTTCTGATTTGCACAATCCCCAAACCCACCTCATGCAGAATGGTAAAACTAAAATTTTGTTAACTAAGATGCAAGCTCTTGCTCATCTTAAATTGTTATGTTGATCTTCTGCAAAAATTATAGGGTTTTTTAATTTCTTTTCTTTCTGTTCATTTTCCTTTTTCTGTTTAATAAAACTAAGACTAGCTTTAGCTTTAAATATACCATACAAAAGAATATATGTCTACAATATATTATAAGAGAATAACTACTAATTAGTGCCAAATAGCACGTTCTAGTTATGTAAAGGAAGAAATAGAACTGATCCTAATCAACTTCTTAGATGCATGGAAAGCCTTAGTTAAGATGGCTAAATAACAACTCACTTAAATGGATTTTAATATCCAAATCTGGGGAAATGTGTTGCTGGCTTTAATGCCCAAGATTTTAGAAGAGAATACACAAGAGACTGTAACTGTTGGCAGCATGAACAAAGACTGTCCCAATGTAAGTGGATAACAACATTTTTGTGGCGGTTTTTGGGAGGGAAAAGAGGGCTGGGAGTAGCAGGGGATTAGTGGCACTTCTTCCATAAATCATAAGGGCCATCATAAATCATAAGAGCAAAGAGTATATTAACTTCATATGGCACTTTAGAAAATTAAACTCGCAGTAGCATTTGGTCGAATTTCAAAATCCATAAATAGGAAGAGCTGGGTGGGTTGGTGCGTGGGTTGGGGAGTTTGAGGATTGAATGGTACAGGTTGTATAATGGTTGTTTACCTCATCAAAACCATTCTTATCCCAGAACCTTTGCTTTAGGAACACAAATGTCCTTGCCACTGCATAATTTAAAAGGTTAGTTTATTGAGTAGATTCGGGTGACTTAAGTCACTAGGTTCACTGGTAAACTTCCTCTCTATTTCCTCTATTTCCAAACAGGGGCATCCTCAACAATAACTTATATCTGTCAAGGCCATTGCGGCAAAACAGTGGAGCAGTAAGCTATGAAGTTCTAATACGTGATGACCCTTAAGAGGAATTCACTTATTGTACAATGGGAGGGCAGAAGGCTTGAACTTAAGATCTCAACCACCCAGCAATGGCCGAAGTGACAATACCTAACAAATTTAATAACCTCTGCATGCCAAGTGCTAACCTCACATCTCACAAAACATACTAAGATACTTCTTATGGCCACCAAGAAAACAGAAGAACTTTCCTTACTCGAGTCAGCCATGCAAGGCAATGACTCCTAATAGCGTTGATTTAAGTAAGAAGTGAAACACCTCGAAATGTTTTCTAAGACAATTATTTGACCAAAATAAAACCATCTTATAGAACAAGAAATTTAATTAAAACAAAAAGAAATCATACAGAACAAATTATCCTTTTTGCATTGACGAAATACTAATTCTAGAGAAAGTATCTTAATAGCTCCACCCCTAGCAAAGCACACCAAATAGAAAGTAGCCAAGAAAATCACTCCTGAAATAGCAAAAAAAAAAAAAAATTCATGTGCAGCTTTTCAAGAACCAACTTAAGATGAACTAGCATTGTGTGCCATTGACCAAGAAAAGGATCGTTTCTACTCCAACAAACATTTCATTATCAAACAAACAAAATTTTCATCTTTTCAACAAACCCAAGCTTAATCACAATCAAATATCAATTAAAAAAAGTATTAAATTTTAAAGAAAGGCGGCTTAGCTTACCCGGAAGGGTCCAAAACATTCCTGGAAATCTTCATTTTCTTCTTGGCACCTTTATAAAGATCTTCTAAGCTACAAGGCAACACGTTTTCCACAGAAGCAGCTTTCCTCATTTCTCCATTACTACTACTGCTACCACTCCCGTAACCATTATTATTACTAAAATACCCTTCTCTAAACCCTCTATTTCCCCTTCCACCCCCTCCTCCAACATTCGCTTCCCCCCCAAACAGCTCCTCATATATATCATCCGCGTTCCTCGGATTAAACCGAAACGACGCCTTATTGGGGTGCTGCCTCTGATTACTATTATAGTAATGGCTCCCACCGCGCGGATACGACGAGGACGTGGAAGCGTAAGATTGATTTGGAGAAGAAGACGGCGGTAATTGTCCTGATTTAAGAGCCTCCTCGCCGTAAAGATCGTAGATCTGTCGTTTTGGGGGGTCGGACAAAACATCGTAAGCTTCGGAAATGAGCTTGAATTTGGCTTCGGCTTCGGGTCGTTTGAAAGAAGGGTTCTTGTCAGGGTGCCAAATCATGGCAAGCCTTTTGTAAGCCTTTTTGAGATCCTCGTCGGTGGCGTGGCGGTTCACTTTCAGAATATTGTAATAATCAACGCCCATGATTTTTTATTTTTTTTTGCTCGGAATTTGGGAAGGCGGTGGTGGTGGAAGACAACGGAAAAGTGAGGGAGAAAGTGTCAATGTGAACTGGAGAAGGCAAGGAAAGGAAAGACAAAGGAAAGAAACGGAAAGAATAGATAAATAGTATAAAAGGCCGGGGCCTAGACGATTAGCGTGCTGCTAATTACTGGGGATTTTGGAGATGTGGTAAAATTGATTGAATTTGATAAAAGAAATTATTTAGTGAAAATTTTTAATTTTTCTTTTCATATTTATTTTTCTTGTGTCTTCGCTATTCTGATGTTCAATTTACATTTTTAGCAAATAATTTTATGGAATATCAATTCCTTGAAACAAATAATAATAATTTTTACTCTTTCCTAAGATTGTTATTCTTACCTCATCAGGAATTAAGAAAATTCTTTATTCGATAATTTATCTTTATATATTTAATTAATTTTCATTTTAATTTTATCTTTTCATAGTTAATCAATTTTGATCATTTTGATTAATTAATATTATTTTATTTTAATAATTAAATAATATTAATTATAATATTTAATTTGACAATTAATTAATTAATATTACTTTAAAATAAATAAATTATAAATTATAAATATTATTAACATTAAAATATTTTTAAATTAAAATTTACTATTAAAATAATATACTATATCAAAATCTCATTAAATTAAATATCTAATGTTTAAAATATTGTGAAAATAATATAATATATTAAAGTATTATTAAATTAATATTTATTTTTAAAATATTATTAAATTAGTTTCCATATTATCAAATATTAAAATATTATGAAATTATTCCATACTAAAATAATATTAAAATGTTAACAAAATAATTTTAAATACTAAAATATTACAATATAAATGTTTAATATAATTAAATATTAAAATAGTATCAAATTCATATTTAATATTAACTATTATTAAAATATTTTCATATATAATAATATAATATATTAAATATATAAGAGTAAAAGAATATTAAATATTATTAAAATAATTTAATAAATGATTAATAAATTAATATTTAATATTAACATAATATTAAAATATATTAAATACTAAAGTATTATTGAATTAATACTTCATATTAAAATAATAGTATTAAATATAAAAATATTATAAATTTAATTTTTATTATAAATAATATTAAACTATTATTAACGTAATATTAAATATTATTAAATAATATTTACTATTATTCAATATTATTTAAAAATTAAAACAATAGAACATATTTAAATAATATTTAACAATAAAATTAAATTTATTAAATTATTTTTTAATATTAAGAAATTATTCAAATATTCTTAAAATAATATTAAAATAGAAAAATGAATATTTAACATATAAATATGATTAAATAAATCAAAACAATAAAATATTATTAAATTCATATTTAATATTAAAATAGTATTATAATTTTACTTTTTTAGTAATTAGTATTATAATGATATTAGAATATAATTAAAATCATAAGTATTAAAATATTATTCATTAGTATTTTAAATTAAAACAATATTATAATATTGTTTATTTAATATTTAATATGAAAATAATATTATAATTTTTTAAATTATTATCAAATCAATATGTAATATCAAATTAATTATGAACATATTATTAAAATAATATTAAAATATTTATAAATATTATTAAATTAATATTTATTATTAGTTTCATATGAAATATTATTAAATAATATTTAAAATTATTGAAAAAGTATTTAATATTTTTAAATAATATTTAATAAATATTAATATTAATAATTTAACATTTAATATTGTGGAGTTAATCTTAATTAAATTTTAATATTTAATATTAATATTTAATTTTTATATTAAATTATTATGAATTTTTATTCATTTTGAAAATAATTTTATAATAAATTATAAGGATAAAATGGTCTTTTGAACTTATTCCTTTCGTAATCTTTGAACCAACCAAATATATTAATACTAATTTATCTTTTGTTCTATGCTAATAAACTAAACTTAATAATATATATTCTATTTTATTTTTCCTATTTTTTATTCTTAAATAATATAAATTTTATTCCCTTTTAATTTCATTCCACAAATCAAAGAAATGTTAATATTTAAATATTTTATTTAAATTCCCCTATTTTTTATTATTGAAAGAAGTTATCATTTTGATATTAATAGAAAACTTGGTGTGATTTTGAAAAGAAAATTTTAAATGAAATTAAAAAAAAAAAAAAACTAAATCGTTATAAAATGCAATACATCTTTGAATCTTTTTCTTCTTTGCAAATTTAAATTTTTTAAATATGGATGAATCCACATATTTAATTAAGGTGTCTAAATACAACCCAAAAATTATTAGTCAGAGTGTCTAAAAATTAAATAATATGAAAATTTTTTAAAATAATTTCTTGAACACCTTCAAAAATTTTTCCTCAACACATTTTCTGTCAATAAAATTAGTAAATTCTTTGACAATTTATTATATATGTTATAAGTAAATACGTTAAAAAAAATTGGATCCACCATTATTTCTATAAGTAGTAGCCAGTTCTCCGTACACTGTATTGGCCTATAAATCTTTAGGCTTTGTTTGATTTGCCAAAAATGATTTTTTAAAAGTGATTTTTATATTTTTTATATTTATTTGATAAAAAAATTAGCTAATTAACAAAAAATAAGATTTTTTTCCGAAAATATCTTTCTGTTTTTAAAAGAAAGACAATTTAAAAAAAAAACTATTTATAAATAAGATTACTGTTTTTAAAAGAAAGACAATTTTAAAAAAAAAACTATTTATAAATAAGATTACTTATCGCGAAAATGATTTTACTTAAATTAAACTTTAAACATAATCTTTTCAAAACTTAGACTTAATTTGATTTGATTTAAAATATTATTATATTAATAAAATTATTTTTATTTAATATTACATAAAAAATTAAAATATTAAAATTAAAAATCTTCTGATATTTTAACTTAAAAAATATCTTTATAGTTAAACTTAAGTAAAACCTTAAACATGATATTTTAAGTTTAAATTTGATTTAATTCGATATTAAATATTATTATATTAATAAAAATATTTTATTTAATTATAATTAAAATATAAAATATTAACATTAGAAGTCTTTTGATATTTTAATTTTAAATATTTTATTTTTTATATTATTAAACATAAATATTTTTAATATTTTAAAAATAAATAGTATGACATTATTATTTTAATAATAAGTAATATATTAAATAATATTTTTATTATTTTAATAATTAACATTAAATAAGATAATAATATTTTTTTCATAAATAAATATTTTAATAATTTATTACTATTTTCAAATTAAAATATATTATTTTTATGTGTTATATATTTTATATTTATATTATTATTTTAATAATAAATATAAGTAAATAATATTTTGTTATGATTTAAAAATAAATACTTCTAATATAAAATATAACTATTTAACAGTATAAATATTTTTAATATTTTAATAATAAATATTACTATTATTATATTAATAAAAATAATATTTTAAGAATAGCAAAATTATTTTAAATGTTTGAAAATATTAATATAAATAATAAATAGTTTTGTTTTAAGGCTGTATTAATAATATTTTAATATTAAATATTATTATTAAAATATAATTTTAATAATAATATTTATTTTAATGATGAATAAATTTTAATATATTAATAGTTATATTAATATTATTTCAAACATTTTCAAAAAAAATAAACAATAAAATAATTTCATTGGCTCATCCAAACAACAAAAATTTTTATTTTCCAAAAAATATAAATAATTTTTTAAAAATACTTTTTAAAAATTAATTTTTACGAAATAAACCATAACCTATGTTCTTAACCACTTCTGTCTTATCCCCATCCCCTTCTTTTCTACGAAATTCAAATTTACACTGTGTCACCCTATTTTTCTTCGTTTGATACATTCCTGTCTGTTCTAAATTTTTCAAATTGCTTCCTTCCCCTTTTGCCCTCATTCGCTGCACTCATTTTAGTTCTAACCTAATCACAATCTTTCGTTCACCGTTAATTAACTTATCTTTTATTTTTTTATATAAAAAAATCGTAATCAAAAAATTATAAATTTTATATTTGAATATAAAATTTATTAAATGCCACTTTAAAAAAAAATTAATATGTGAATAAATTGATCTAAACTTAGGATTATATTTAACCTGTCTTTTATGTATAACCCCCAAACTGCAGACATAATCCTCCTGTCCAGCATCTGACGTGGCACAAACAAGTAATGAACCACTTGGTAGTCTTCGACTCCGATCCCTCGTTCATATCACAAAATTTGTCTTCACTAGATTCTCTGTTTACACCAGAAATAACTGAATTCTCAACCTCCTTAACTGACAATCCTTCTTTCCCTTTGATCAGCCACGCGCCACTCCTCAACACTTTACTCACACGCCACCACTACACCACCACTCGTCTGTTTTACGACCTCAACTTCCTACCCATTTCCACCACTGTCTCTGCCCTTCTACTCCTAATATTTCCTACACCACCATTTCTGTTCATCAGTCGCATTGGAGCAGCTCGCAAATGAGCACCATATCTTCATATTTTCTGATCATAGAACGCCATCTTTACCTCCTCCGCACAACCTTCCTCGAAATCCAGAATCCATTAATCATGGCTCGATCAACATCCACCCCAACTCGAATCGGATCCTTAGAAACCATGCCCTATTCCCCTCACTCCACCTGGATCCTCCACAGCCACCACCCTCCCAATAACCTCTGCATTTGCCTTGGTCAACAACCATAGAGGCACATTGTGCACCTGGATCCAAAAGAAAATTTCTCAAAAGTAAACTTCCTCAACCACGTCCCCTGCTTTCCACTCCTTCACAACCATCTAGTGCCCCATGATCGACCATGGACCCTCATCTAATGCCTTCCTCATCAACCTCTCAAAAGTAAATGAAATACTAAACAGGTTATTCCCTAGCTCCCATAATAAAAGCTTTTACTTGAGAAAATTTAACTATCAGATCCGATTAATTCATCAGAATCTGGGTTTTCTTTAAATATATGAGAAAACATCGGAAATATTTTCACAATGTCACATTGCTCATAAAAACCCTAAAATAGATTCTGCTCAAAATGGAAATAAAATAAAGCCAATTAAATCTTCCAACAACATGACATGAAAACATATACATGGACGTGCCCTTCATATTCTACCAACTGCTAACAACTCTAATCTATTAATGCACACTTCATGCAGCCAAAAACTAACCAAAGCTGGCGATGTAAACATGTTACCAGAGAATATTCTGTCTGCCTCCATGAGCTCGTGTTAAACCTAAATGCCACTCTGTGAAGGCACCCGGAAGCTGCTTTTCAGGTATGGAATCATTTATTGACAACAAAGGTGAAAGAAAAATCCAACAAAGTAATCGATCCCTTGGCTTAAACAGCAACAGCTTGGCCAGTAGCTGCATCATGGAGCTGCAAAGAACCATCTTTCATTAAGTTAAGGCTCAAGCTCTTGAACCTTTCTCTTGAATACTGCCTCGATGCCTTTCTCCAATCAGTGCCAGCTTTCATCATGGCAACAAATTCATCATAACTGATACGCTCATCCTGAGTAAAAGGTTCACAAGGAAAAAAATAAAGGGGTTAGGTATTAAAATATAGAGAAAATGAAAATTATAGAAGAAAATATATGAAAGAGAGAGGGAATTAGTAATTTTTAGTAAAAATTAACAATTCTGAATCTCCCAATTGCAGTGAAATTCAAACCTTTTTGAGCAGAAAATTTTTGACAAATTTCTGAAGTAATAATTACTAAGATGTGGTATTTCTGTTTCGATCAAGCACCATGAAAGTGATATTCACGAAAAAGAAATTTGTGGCAAAATAGGAGTGTTCCTGAAAATAGGAAACGACAAGAGTTGGTATGGCTTGGAATCAGACCTTGTCAGTGTCAACTTCACGCATGATGTCGTTCAGCACATCAACATCAGCCTCACCTGATTCGTCAGCTAAGGCATCCCGTAACTCATTCAGTTCAATATATCCACTCCCATCTTTGTCAAAGAACATAAATGCTCTGCGGAAATGCTCATCATTCTCCATCTTCTGCAGGTGAATAGTCACTGCTACAAATTCTCCATAGTCCAGTACTCCATTTCCATCAACATCAGCCTAATACAAATAAATATTGGATCAACATAAAGAAAATACACGTTGACATGCAAATTCTTGGCAGCCATATGAGGTTATGGAAAAAATATAATCCAATTTAATAACATAATGCATTAAGTTGTGATCTTTCAGTTAATTAAACGTGTGAAACTCAGTAGGCAGAACTACATTTATCCAGTTTACTGATTAATATTTCTAAATTCTACTTAAAGATAAGTAGACATAAGAAATGGAAAACCTCTAAATTCTACTTAAAATGGTGCATATTTCTCTTGATTATATATGACATGAAAACCAAAACTAAACTCTCTGTAAGAGTTTCTCTTCAATGAATTTGCAATAGATCAAATAGGAGTTCATGTGATCACACTCATAATCTATCTTCCTTTTATGCGGAACTTACTCTCAGGGCTTGGGTCTACAAACCTAAAAGTGAAGAAAAAATTTTAAAGCCTATTGTTAGTCCAACAATGGCTTTATGAAAAGAAACATTCCAAACAAGTAAATATGTGAATCTTTCTCAAAAATATGCAAGAAAATAAATTCTTCCAATCACGAAAGATATGCTATACATCTGCAAAATGCTACGTGTGATCCCATTTCCTTACTTCACAAGGGACAAGGGTAGCTTCTGAGAAATATAAAACCAGTTCATGTGTAAACAGATGTCAACATCATGGCCAACAAGAAATACAAAATTTTCTAATTCAGTGGTATTGCTAGTATAAAATTTAACAATAGAATTGTGAAAGATGCAAAATCAGCAACAGATGATTTAAGGAATAGTTCCTCTGAAACAAAAATAGAGGGGAGAGAGCTGAGTTTATTTTTTGGTTTATGCAAGATAAAATCTTCTGCTTCTAAGAAGACCCAAGGACCATTGACAGCATAACTTTCCTAATAATTCCACCAGTTAATGATTGAAAAACATGATCAACAGTATATTACAGGGCATCTTGTAAGAAAAAGTAACTTAACAAAAAGTAAATAAATTGATATAAACTAAAAGCTAATTATGGCAATCTCATAATGAAATGAAGTAAATGATAGTACTACAGATGGACCAAGAACTATATACAAAAACAAAAAAAAAAAAAAACACACCGTTAATGTTTGCTCGTTAAGCATGGTAACATAATCAATTTGACAACTTTATATTTAAGCCACCAAAAAAGTATTTATTTAGTAGAGGACGTTAGTGCTTGTAGCAGCACACTACTTAAAGGGCATATAGCAGAACAGCAAACTTGAAAGTATCATAAATGGGCTCAAACAAGATAGAAGTCACATACACGCAAAACTAGTACACTTAAAGTTAAAAATGAAACTTCAGCTTCAATGTAAGTAAAAACTGGATCATACCACTTCCATCAACATCTTGATCTCTGGTTCAGCCAATTGTGAACCAACCTTCCGAAGCCCAGCCTTCAGCTCCTCGTACGAAACTTTCCCATCATTGTTTGTATCCATTAATGTGAACATATCTCTGATTACTTCAACCTCTTCTACAGATAAGTGCTCTGCAATTACCTGCAGCATTTACAAAACTGAATCATCTACAGATACTCATGAATTTGATGATGGCACAATGATTTTTCAATCTTCAACTGACAATCTCACATAATCCACCTAAAATCGCTTACCCTCAAGGCCTTCTTTTTGAATCTATTCATCACAGAAAACTGTTTGAGCCTTGTTCTCACAATATCTCCCAGTGGAACATTTGGAGCTTTCTTCGCATTTTGCAACCAGGAATGTTCTGTGCCCAAAAGATATAAAAAGAAGAGATTAAAAGGTGAAAATCAAACCAACTATTAAAAGAAAGTCAACAACTGGATTCTGCAAGGACTTCAAAGCGCTAGCAATGCTAATATATTACCTACTAACATAAATGGTTTCTGGTGATAGCAATATTAACAGGTAAAATATTTCTATGCAACTAAGCATCAAAGGGACTTTATTTCGAAGGTTGAATTTCCTTCCTCAACAACCACAAAAACAAACTAAATCTTTACCCACTAATTAACTCATTCATACGGATCGTATATGCACGTTGCCCCACTATGCTCACTTCAAGATAAATTTCCTTTAATCATTCAAAATAAAATTTATTAAAATTTAGACTACATATATGCATACATATGTCACGTGTGACACAATTAGCATTTGACCACACAAACAATGTATGATCATTATCAGATGCCAAATACCGTGTCCAACTGCTCTGCAGCATAAAGTGAGCATGCTACTTGAAATTATTATGGAAGGGATTTGCTCTGTCAAGATTACACATGCTATGAAAATTGTGAAGGTTTCTAAAGAACATCCAGCAAAACTAACATTAACTTGGAGACAACTACCACCCAAAATCTCTACAATGGTCCAAACTTGGAAGGGGAAATTTCAAGCAGACAATATCTTAAGAGGACGGGTCAAAAATAAAACCTAAAATTTTGAAGAAATTGCAGTGAAGTAAATGACAGAGATTTAGCACTCCTCAAACAGGTATTGGAAATAAAAGGGGTGAAAAAGTGTTTCTATATTTCTTTTGGAAGCATGTATTTGACCTTAACCTACCGATGAATTACCACCCAAGCAAGAACCCTTAACCACGGGGTACGTAAAATAACAACATAAACTTAGGATAACCAAAGACTTAAGGAAGATTAGAGATTGAACAAAACAAATGGCCTGAAAGAAAGCAGCAGAGAGACAGTTTGACTCAACAATTTTCTCAATTCAAAAATACAAGCAATATCAAAGAAAACACTACTATTTTAACATTCTAGACTCTGGTGATTTCAGCCATGTCAGTATCAGAATGGATCACAAAGATGATCGTAGATGCATGTTTGCTAAATCCAATAAAACTAAATCCTGAGAATTATTCCATTCAGAAATTTGTCAGTTCCTCTTGATGAAAGTTAAATATGAAGTGGTGAGAGTTAATTGGATATTTCTTGTTATTCATATTGAATCTCTCAAGTTACCCTGCACTCAATATTTAAAACAACAATTCATAATAGTAAGCAGATAGCGTTCGAGGATCCAGAGGATTTAGCTAAAAAAGTGCAAATAGTTTTGTCCTTGATGGTAAAAAATAACTACCGGAGGACTTACCAAGAACCTGTTGAGCAGTCAACCGCTTCTTAGGATCCGGTTCTAACATCTGCCTAACAAGACTCTTAGCACTTTCTGAAACCTGAGGCCAAGGTTCCCTCTTAAAATCAATGACCCCTCTCAAAATTGCAAGAGCAACACCCTGTTCAGTTTCTGAAAAAAGTAACATGAAAATAGAAATCAGGAGAAAAAAAAGATTTAAATGCAACAGCCTCACGAGTGTGTTCACTGGAACAGTACAACCACATAAAAGCACAAAGTAAGAAATGGAATACCTGCCCAAAACGGAGGAACCCCACATAACAAAATGTAAAGGATCACTCCAGCACTCCACACATCAACCTCCGGTCCATAATTTCGTTTCAAGACTTCAGGAGCCATATAGTATGGACTCCCCACGATCTCTGAAAACCTCTCCCCTATAAAAGAAATCCAAAATCCAAAATATCAATCCTGCAATCCATCTCAAACCCATAAATTCAACAGCCGAACAGATATCTAACAAGCAAAATCCAAAATCCGGTGAAATAACCAAACAATCTCACAGGAAAAAACAAAATTCTCCATAGCACTCAGATCAAGTTTCAAAACTTTCAAAAATATAAAGCAAGGTTTTGACAACCCAAAAGTTAAAAGTCCAAATTTCATCAAACAAACAAGCAAAAACCCACATAAAAATACTTCAATTCCATAAACTCAAAGTTAAAAGATTAATGAAAACCCGGAAAATAAATTCAAAAACCCTGCTTTAACCATCCGAACAGAGAAGATAGAAATGAAAATTATAAAAAAAAAAAAAAAAAAACTCTTAGGTGTCCAAATTTTATCAGCCAGAGTCCAAAACCGTTAAAAACAAAAAAAAAAACAAAAAAGATTCCCCGACATACCAGGCTTAAAAAACACAGACAAACCAAAATCAATCGCTTTTAGCGGCGCATGTTCTTTCTTATTCCCAAACAAAAAATTCTCAGGCTTCAAATCTCTATGCATAACCCCATTCTCGTGACACATCCTAACCACCTCAGCTATCGTCTTGGCCACGTTCGCTGCTGCGCGTTCCGTGTAATGTCCTCTCGCTACTATCCTATCAAACAACTCTCCTCCTTCGCAAAGCTCCATAACCAAATGAACATTTTCATTATCCTCGTACGTCGCTTTCAACTTCACAATATTTGGATGCTCCGGCAAAGTTGACATTATGGCAACCTCGCGTCGGACGTCTTCGATGTCGACGGCTGTTCGGAGTTTCCGCTTGGAGATTGACTTGCACGCGAGGCCGTCACGCGTTTCCCTGTCCGTGCAGAGGTAGGTGATTCCAAACTCGCCTCTGCCGAGCTCGCGTCCCAGGATATACTTGTCGCCTAGTCGAGTTCGGTGACTCAGTGGAATCACGTCTTTTAGAACTCGGATCGGAGCCGGCGAAGGGACTTTCTCGGCGTACGGGTTAGGTTTCCCTTCCCGGGCTTTTTTCTTTCCTCTCTCGTTCTGGTCCGACCGGTTCGGTTTACTTTCCGGACTGTCGTTCGGTCTAACGCATGCGTTACAGTTTCCCATAACAGAAAGAATTAGGAAAAAGAAAAAGAAAAAAAGAAAAACGGAAACTAAGACGGCAGCGGTTTCGGGGTTGGTGGCAGGTGGCGACGGTGAAGGGAGGAAGGAGGAAGGAAACGCGGGTCAGCTTAGACAAGCCGGAGGTTTTGAAAATTTGTTTTTAGGCGTTGGATTTTGATTATTTTATTTATTAAATTTAGGGACATTATTATTTAATTGTTAATGCAATAATTTTTGGTGGAGTTTGTATTTGTTCATAACGATAGCATATAAATTTAATATATCAGCATTAAATTATACGTTATCATATCATTAATAAATAAAATTTAAAAATAAAAAAATTTTAAAAAAGAATTAAAGACCATTTTTATTATTTAAAATTTTAATTTTAAATATATGATTTAAATAAAGTGTACAATCTTATCATATTAAATCTCATGAGAGAGAACAAGAAAATAAGGTAAGTTTGTTAAACTGACCTTGGAGTTCTTGAGTTATGTTGAAGCTAAGAGAGAGGATTTATTTGGTGCTTTCGGGTCCAGCCAGCTTTATTGTGAAGCTTTTTCCAAAAAATAAACACAATAAATATACATAAATAAATAAATTGCTAATAGTAATATTATATTTGTAAAAAGGAATCTTCCAAAATAATATATTTATTTTAATTTATTATTATAATATTTAATCTCACATAATTTTATCATTATCGTTATTTTTAATTTCATTAAAATTAATTTTTTATTATCCAAATGAATTTTTAATAAATTTTTTCTTTTAACTAGAAAATAAAAAATTAAGTTGTTGAAAGTTATTCACCTATGGAAGGAACAAATCCTTCTAGAAGCTGAGGACAAATTTCATTGCTGTTTGGTTCTTGAATTTTTTTTTTTTTCAGAGATTCTAGTCAATGAATTTGACATGAGACAAACAAGGCACAGCATGTTCCTAATTTTAGAAGACATCATAATTTTAATAACTTATTGTAATTAAAAAATAATGTGGATAATGAAGTTTGTCATCATCTTATTTGCCACAATCAATAAAAACACATCCAGAATTTTTTTTTTTTGCAACATTTATATTCTCTAATCATAGGATATGAGATTCCATCTAATAAAAACAAATTCTAAAAAAGCAAAGATTATAACTACGGATTCTCGATTAAAAGTATTTTCATTTTAAATTTAGAGTATGTTTTTAACTAATTATAATTAAATTATAAATTTATATTTGAAATATAATTAGTGTATAAATATTATATATTGATAATAAATTATATAATAATATTTTATAAAAATTAATTTTAAATATATTTATTTTTTATCTCTTAATAAAATAATGGAGGAAACATTTGAAATAAAGTCCAAATTCTTAATAATATGATTATTGCTTAAACTATTGTTATACTAATATTTTAGGTAGTACATCCTGTTGTGAAAGATGTTAATTTGGTTTGGTTGCAACTTGCGTTTAGTGTGATGAATTGGTCAAATTATTAGATTAGACCACCATGATTTGATGTTATTTCCTCTCTCTTTCATCATGGTTTGGTCGTTGAAAACTCCCCCTCACAAACCCAAAAAAAAAAAAAAAAAAAAATCAGTGTGGAAAATTGAATATAATTTTCAGCTTGTGGCCTGCTTTGGAGACTTGCAATGGGAGAATTAGGTGGAGACGTGGAAAAGATGAAAGAGTACAAAGTCTTCGAAGCAGCTATCAGCCTTTTATTAAAAGCAAGTCAAGAAGAGCAGGAGAATTCAGGATGAGGGGCTTTATTTGCATCTTATGAACTAATTGATATATTTTAAAAATTTTATTATAAATTTAATTTTTAATAAAATTATTTAAATATTTATTAACTAATTTTTTTAATCTTTTACATTACCTTCTTCTTCTTTTTTTCTCTTTTTCTTTTTTTTTTTCCAAATTAGTAGTAACTTTTTTTTCTCAATAACAAATCATATTGTTATCAAAATTTATAATATTTTGTATAATACCAAAATGAAAAGTAAATTTAAGAGAGATAATGTCAATAATAAAGATTTAGGGATTACAATCGATTAAGTTAATTTTTAAAAATTAATATCTAAAAAATTTTAAAAATTTTTATTTTCAAAATTTGTAAAAATTTTTGGACACATTTTTGAAAATTTTTTAAAAATTTTTGAAATTTATTTTCAAATACTTCAAATTATATGAAGATGAGATACTTGAATGTTTAAATATTTTAATAAATTTTAATTTTAAGTATGAGATGTAGTGAGTAAAAAATAAAATATTAAAATTGGTAGGGTATATTTAATAAATGTTGGCTGTAAAAGGCAACCCTCATTCAAGATTTCAAAGATCAAAGTCAAACACAAATTATTAGACCACTTTGCCAAAAAGTTGCAAGAGATATAGAAATATGGGTTAGCCTAATCCACTTCCCTTTAACCTCAAGCCAACGAGTTGGAGACAATTCATGCACTTCCCTTCTTTAACCATTATTATATAAGCTAATCAATGATTAGTATGGACCAAAGTAAATAATTTTCATTTTAGGTGAAATCATTTTTTTTTATATTTTTGTGTTTAAGACATCTCAATTTAATTAATATAGGATTTATTTTAATATTTTTTAAAATAAAATATGACATAAATTTAAAGTAAAAAAATTATGCTTCGACTTTTGCAAAAAATAAAGTAACTGATCAATTACTTAATTAATTTTTATAATTATATATCTTTACCATATAAAATAAATCTCGTGGTAAAAAATTATTATTAAAAATTTTATGAATAAAGTCGAAAAGTGTAAATTATACAAATTATCGATTAAATATTAAATAAAAAAATGAGATATATATATATATATATATATATAGGGAGACCTCACAATTTAAAAGGTAACTATAGAAACGATGGAAGTATCATGTGGCTTAAGCATGATATATGGTAAGTAAGACAAATCTACCACGAAAGGACTAACAAATGGGGCAACACCTGTTTTATTATCATATTAAATTTTAGAATGAACACTTAACCTAAATCAATTTTTAATAAAAAAAATAGTTTTTCTTTTTATGTATTTCATGATGCCTTCAATTTAACTTTAGTGTGATTTACTTTATCGTTACTTTAACAATGATTATGATGATTAATCATCTTAATTTTACATTTTTTAAAATATTATTTAATTTGTACTTAAATATTTAATTCAATAGTAAATACACATAAATTCTCTCGCTTAAAAAGTGAGTTTGAATTCCTTTTTCTCCAAAATATATATAAAAGAAATGTTATTTTATTTGTATTTATATGAAATGGATTTTAAGTGCTCATAAAATTAGAACAGATACAAAAAATATATTAAGAATTTAGTTACTCCGATATAAAATTATAAACATTAATAAATTAATAAAAAAAATTATTTTTTATTTCATTTTATTTTTAACTCTCTAGTAAGAGTATAATCGATTGAGTTCGAGTCAATATAATACTAAGCTCGAACTCGTTTCCAAATTTGATGCTTGAAATTTGATTCGAACTCGATCGGATTTTATTTTTTTAGTTCAATCTCGACTTGAAATAGAAGTCGAACTACTCGAACTCGTTCAATTAAATTTAATTAATATGTAAAAATAAACTCAATTCTTATTTTTACAAAAATTTAATTATTTGTGCTCGAGCTCAAATTCGAATTCAATATATTTTATCAATTAAAATAATTAAAATATATTAAAATATAAATATTCGATTAAACTCGCGAACAATTTAAATCAAATATAAAAATATTTGAACTCGATTCGATTGATAAATCAAATTATTCAAACTTAAGCTTGACTCGATAATAACTGAGTAAAATTTAAATTTTATTTTAATCAAATTTAAATAATTTATGAGTATTAATATATTCATTTACATTTATAGCCTTTAGTGCTTTTATTGAATTTTACATGTGTCTTTGGATGCGCGTTTCATTCAGCGCCCTTAAAGCCTCATATGCTTGTGCGAGGCAAAGGGCCAAACGTGGTCCATTTCTCCACGTTGATTTTTTGGACAATTTCGGCATAGATTTAATTTAAATTATTTCTTTCGCCGTACAATTAATGTATGAGTTTGGTTGTTTTCACCCAAAAATTTTCAAGTTTGATTATCTTTATTTATAAATTATTATTAATTAAAATTTCAAAAAAAAAGTCTTTCAAAAGTTTGAATAAAATAATTTTCAAATAAATATTTGTTAAATTTTAATTTAATCAAATATTTAAAATAATTAAGATCAAAGTTAAAAAATGATTAAAAAAGTCACAATATGACAATGTTGATTGGATGAAGAATTGAACACTGAACATTTAATTTTAATGATTAAAATTTAATTTCTATCAATTTCAATTATAATAAAATAGTCTGAAATTTTCTGTGGATGGTTTGGAAAGGATGAACTATACTTTATTCGGTGTCCATTCTATATATGCAATAAACAAAACTCGTGTTACTTGCCAACGTATATAGAAAAGGACACTTCACCTTATGTTGAAATGGTGAATGTAGATCAAATTTAAAATTTAATTTAATTTATATAATTATCTTTAAAATAAATATTCAATAAATTTAAAATTTTAATTTTAATTTGTACAAAATTTTTAATCTCTAACTATGACCTTAAAAAAAGTTGGGTTAAGAGAGTAGGGCAACAAAGAAATGTGAAATCTCCCAATTTGAAATGAAAATAAATTTAATAATTTAAAATACGATAAATAATATAATATAAACATGATATAAAAAATATAAAAATAATATAATTTAAAATTTATATAAATTTAATAAAATAAAAAATATATTATATTTTTATATCAATACAAATTATAATTCATAATTTTTACATAAAATATAATATAAATATATAAATTTTAATATTTTATATAATATTAATGCACAAATTATCAAATCCACGTTAACACATTCAGGAAGAGCTTAAAATCAGCTCCCAAGGCAAAGATGGGCCTGCTCTTATTAGGGTTGGTATCGGGTCGGGTTTGAGGTGGGTTTTGCTCATCTCGAACCCGACCTTACTTGAAAATTTTTTTGTTTTTTTATACTCGAACCCGATCCGACACTATATAAACCGTACCCGACCCGATTCAACTCAAAATTAATAAAATATTATTTTTTAAAATATAAAATATTATTTTTTAAATATAAATATTTAAAAATATCATTA